CAGACTAACGAGCCAAAGCTTGGTTAATTTTTGTTTACTGCATCAGAAATTCAGTAGTTTAATGGGCATCCGGTCATGTTGTATAACCGGGGACTTTAGCCAGTCAACTAAATGTATATTCACTACATAATTGGTGACAACTGTGGAGGTGCATAAGTTCGAATACTAATAAACCTATTATATCCTATGTAATAGATATATGTACTATAAAAATACAATAACTAGTGGACTGTCCTTCAAGGCATCTTCAACGTTTTGCTCCCATGGCAAATTATGTGATGAGACAAAACAAAAGGACGCCTCGTTGTACTTCAAGCCACTGACACAAACTTCACACTGGTTGTTTACCTGAACACAGATAAGGATTATAAAAGAAAATTTTTGTTTCTTTTTTGAACGTGCATACTGTAAGACCGTTCGGCATTCACCGTAAATTGTTAAGGACAATATAAATGTTCGTAAAGGTAGAAAAAATAAAATCCAAATATAGGTATGTAAAATATATAAAACAATTATGTCTGTATTATTCCATTTTAAAAAAGTACACAAGTACACATGTACAAATTATGAAATAGTATATAATAACATGAAAAACGGGCTAAACGCCCTCCTGCCTATTCACTTCTCAAAAAAAAACATGAAAAGCCACAAAAAGGAATAGCCATTATTTAGTGTGTGCATGCTTCATCGTTGACCTCATATCGCCTATTTCCATCAGGTGAGATGGAGGTTAAATAAGCATTTATTTTATTTTATAAAAAAGAAACTAATCACTACTACACAAATTTACGCCTTTATCTTGGAATAGGCCCTCTATTTAGGGTTTGGGGATAAATTAATTTGAATGTGCTATTTATTTATTGCGTTGCGTATATTTTTATCATCATTATAGGTAGTTTTTTTTTTATTATATTGCAATATTCCCTCCTCTTACATTTAGTGGGAATAAGCTGTTTTACAGTTTAAAAGGTATCACCTATGTACCTGTGATTAGGTGGACTATGTCGTTTATAATACTTAACTTGAGTTATGTCTGTAGCTAAAGCATAGCGTTTAGCGTTCATAGCGCGAAATTCTATTAGTATATAACGACCGTCTCAGATGTTATACTACATAGATCCCATTGTAGTGGAAAGCCGGAGGGGTGGCGCGCCCCATGACGTCACCGGTCAATGGCGGGCGGAACCTCGGCGCCAGACGTGCAGGGTGCAGCTTTATGGACTGTGTCAATATTACTTGACCATAACACAGCTTCGATGATGAAATGTGACATTATGGCACAAACAACTAAAAAAAGAATGTTAGTTTGAGAAACGAACACCACCAACGTAAGTCGAAGAAAAAACTAAGGTGAAATTATAACGAAGTGACACTGATAAATGATAATAAAACAAGACAGAACGAATATTTGTGAAGACCTGAACTAAGGTTTGATAAAGTCGATTACGTCTACACGTAACATAAATATGTATATAATTTATTCAGAAGTTTAATGCATTTGTTCACATTATCTTAGTCATTATTATAAGGCCCGGAGGTTTTCCGCCGAAGAAATCGACTAGTCCCTTTTTGCCCCATTAACGGCACCTAATACCGGGGGACCTACTATAATTTTGTATGAACGTAGAGGCCGTGAAGTTTTTAGCAGTGTTTAGGTACACAATGTTTCATGACATTATGTTGACTTTGGCACACAATAGTTTACAATGAGATGAATGTGTCATTAGAATAGGACGCAACAGTTTTATGTAATGTTTGCCAGTTATTTATACCTTACGCAATGATATAAATAGTCGATTGAACTGAACAGAACAATCATCGGTTTTTACTCGGACAATACACTAATTCGTTAAGACATATATTGAAAGTTTTAAATGAGAGCCTGTAGTAATTCAGTCGTGGTATCCTAGTTTTTCGACTTACCTACCGCCTCCTAAGCAGAGAACATGGTATTTTCGTGTTATTGAAAAAATAGCCCTAGCTTTGTTGCGGTGCTCGCGAAAACAACATTAGAAGGTCGAAGTTGTGACGTCTGTGGAGAGGTTGTTCACTGAATTAACTGCGTCACGTCTTTTCTATTTACAACGCAACGCTTTTCTAACATCATCTGCGCTTACATATTAATTTAAAAACGGGATTCACATTAGTTTCAGACATTTCTTGAAGGTTTAACTGACAGGTAAAAGTATATAGAATTTGTAATGTAACTGGGTGGTGGTTTCGCTTTGGTTATTTATAGGTAAGAACACTCGTTTAGTCTAGTCTTTATTTTAGTGTAGCCTACTCAACGGTATTTTTGTAACTAAACTCGAGTGCACAAAGTGCACATACGCACTCCGTATAACTAAGGAAGGAAAATAGCATTTTAACATTTCGTCATTGTTCAGGATAAAAAACTTCTCAATTTTAAAATAGTCCGTATCGACTTAATGCGACTCAAGTTTCTAATTTTTCTTTATTAAATTCATGAAATGCTGAACGCGTGTAATAACCGGGTTATATAAGTGCAAAACAAAAACATTTTTAATATTATAATTAATTATTAAAATATATGGCCTAACCGTCTAATTTGAAAGTCAGTCTAATGTTCAAAATGAAATATTAAATCATGTACGTTTGGAAACCCATTCGGTATGTTTCAATTTCTGAACTTCAGTGATGAATTTAGCAAATGTTTTAGAATTTGTCATTTCATCTAGAATGTAAGCTGACTTTCAAGTTCGACAGTTAGAGAGATGATTTAACATTGTAAACTTTCGAAAACCGAACATATTGTCCGTTAGTTTCGAAAACTAAAGACAATTTTTATGAAAAATTAATGCTAAAGAATCATTTGGTGTCCTTTTTTTCCGATCACGGCCGTAAATTCAACAATCAATAAAACTATACAAAAATTATGTTACTTTTACAATAAAATTGTATGAACCGTGATATGACCTTGACTATTGTTTATATTAGAACTATACCATATGTACTTACATAAAAACCTTGACCTGGAGGGTTTTTCTTGACCTTTAACGTCTCCTGATAAAAGAAAAGGGCGCGAGGGACTTGCGGTGTTCACGTAAACTGCCTTATACTAAAATTATCTCTTCCGTCAATAGAAACATTTTTATTTTGAAATCAAAGTCCTACTGGCTAAAACTTTAGATTCCATGTTAAACTGCTTATTTTCTTGTTCTTCTCTTTTTCCGCCATTAACGCCATGTACCAAAAGTATATTGAAATATATTATTTTGCATATGTATGTATGTACAACAATGTAAATGGACAACTTGAGTCTATTTCGAGTGCTACCCATCATATCATATCGTGATACGTTGGAAAACTAACTAACAATATTTAATCGCAGATTAATTTCAATACTGGCGCATAAACATTTTGTTTGATGCTGTTCTATGTGCCATTGTTGTTTGAAAATGGATTTTATTTTAAGTGTGTCTAATTCTGAATAATTTTAAGTAAATTCACTAAAATTTGTCATAATGCAAATAGTTTCACATAAAATATTGTCAATACTAACCGAATATACAATGTACACAAGAAGCTCATGCTGTCGCGTAATTTGTGAAATTAGTCTATGTACTTACTTACCCATAAAAAAATTATTACAACGTTACAGTTTATCCGCAAACGCAAAATGAAACTGTGAAATATAAAAATGGCTGCTATGTTATTATTTGTTAAATTTTTTTACCTACTTAAAAACGTACACATTATCTCACCAGTATTTTGTATATGATATGAACCTAATTTGCATAAATACTTGAAATCGGTAATTCCTCCTATCTTTTCTACTTTTACTTACTTCAAAACTAATATAGAGCAAAAATTGTAAGATATATTTAGATCTACTATTTCAAATTACTTGACACTTCAGTCACAGAAAAGATATCATTACCACCATGGTATTTTTAGGCTTCAAAGTGAGCTAAACGTACCGGCTTTTATTAGAATGAGAAAATTAAAGACGTATATGTCGGTGACGTAAGAAAGAGTCTAAAAATATATTTTATAAGGGATGGCATTTACTACGCGCCGTATTGCTACGATGAATCTCAATGTATAAGTAACTTTAAGGGTGGGTACAAAGCTAAAGCATTTATTTTGTAAGAAAAGTATTGTGTGGGTTCAGGATGATGGTTACAAAAAAATAATAATTATAAATGTATGACGTATGTTTTCCGTGAAATGTATCACAATCTCGTCCCTTATTTGATTTGATATATCTTTCCGACGCAAGCACATAGAAAAATTCGTGAGGTCCGCTGGTTCGTTCCATGGCTTAGTTGGTATAGCGTCTGGCACGGTAAGCTGGAAGACGTCGGTTCGAATCCGGCCGGATCGAAGGATTTTTTCTGAGTGTTCGATCTTTGTATTAATAATTATAGTAAAATAGTCTTTTTTATATTTATTAGATTACATCGTAAACACTTGATGCGTCAATACTGTAAGTAGGTCACATTACAACTTTTCATTCTAAAACTTATGTTTCTCATTGATTTCCTCCTACGAAAAAGTTGCTTAATTTATTTGTTTACGCTCAACAAGGAAATTACGATCAAGGAGATGCGTCGGTTTCCTTTGCTGGTTTACGGAACTTCATATGGCGTGATGACGCTGTATGACAAACGCATTATGACACTTTATAACGAAGCAAGCTAGATAAACATTGTGGGACTTCAGAATACTGATTTAGACAGCTGATTGTGTATCTTTCAACCCGGACACTGGCAGAATTGTCCTCAGTGGGACAGAAGCCAAATACCCAAAAAAAAAAAAAAAAAAAGGTGTACAATACAATGTGCACACACATATATTGTATCTAGAGACAGTTGCAGCACTTTGAAACGATATATTTAATAGTTCCGGGTCTTTTATTTATAGTGAACATATAGTTTTAATAAGTTGTGTGTGGGGCACTAATTTCGTTTCATCATAGTAAGGCGACCTCGGCAACCGAAAAGATAATTAAAATTCGATGGTGTGTTTGTCAACAGGTATGAGCGTTTACTGCGACGTGCACACAATGAGGACCTTACGGAGATATCTGGCATCGGTTGTCTGTACCAGAGCGGCGTGGACCGGCTCGGCAGGCCTGTCGTAGTCTTCATCGGAAAGTGGTTCCCCATTGGTGATATCGATTTGGATAAGGTGAGGTATCTATGTATTTATACACATAGTGGCAGTAGAGTTCCTTGTGAAAGAGTTCGTCCAGGGAAGTACTGCCACCTTACCACCCTTTCTCTCTTTGTAATGGCGCCTAAAATTTGCAATAATTTACCAAAAGTATTGAGGCCCGAAAAAACCCTGTATTATTTAAAAAACAAACAACTTATTGACTACTAAAATTTACTATACAGTGTCCGAATTTTTAAATGATAAATCCCTAACTCCATTGTCAGATTTTTGATATTTACACATTTTTTTGACGTTACTAGTTTTATTATTTTGACATTTAATTATTTTGACAATTAAAATTATTATAAATTATACAACACTATCATTACGTCTAAATTGCTGACCGTCATTAAATCCATGTGTGCACGCTCATGTACCTATATTAGAAAAAATAACATGCTGTAACTGGTTCAGTCTGTTAAAATGCATGCGAATAAATCATTGTAAGTCAATGGAATAAATGTATAATTAATAACACTTTCAATACGTTTGTATGGCCTGACACGGCGAAACTCTACTTATTTTGTACATGTCAACTTCCAAATAATCTGTGTTTTCACAAATAAGTGAATTATGAATAGGACCTGTTCCTGCCGCCAAAACAGTAATGTCAGCATTACTGAGTTCCGGTTTTGAAGGGTAAGGGTGTTGGTGAAATTACATGTACATGGGACTTGTCAACTTATGTCTCAGGGTGACGGGCGCAGTGGCAGTGCCCCTCAGAACTTTGCGATTTAAAGCTCTGAGTGGCACTGCAACTGTTATGGACAGGCATGTAGCTTACCATCAGGCGCACGACTTGTTCGTCCCGTTACTTGATATTATAAAAGAAACACATACTTGAGATTTTTTTTACTGTTATAGGGATAACCTAGGGAGGTAGGCAGCACAGATCGCAGGAGAAGTTAAGAATTATTTTGCACAAAGATTGTGACGTTATACTTAATAGAAGACATGCACGTTGTTTCAGGCGTTGCTATACCTAATCAAGCTCTTGGACCCTATAGTGCGCGGTGACTATGTTATTGCGTACTTCCACACGCTTGCCTCTTCCACCAACCACCCGCCCTTCTCCTGGCTGAAGGAGGTCTACACCGTGCTGCCTTACAAGTGAGTACATTTTTGATACCAAATGGGCACCATAGCCGTGTCGCTAGTGCACATGCGAGATTTTAATTACTATGGCATTATATTTTACATTATAATTTTGTATTTCATTACAGGTATAAAAAGAACTTAAAAGCATTTTACATCGTACATCCAACATTTTGGACTAAGGTGTGTATTTAAATCTATAATATGTTCAAATTCAGATTCCCACCTTTTTTGACTCTTCGCAATTTGTTTATCAGCCACCGAAAAGTTTTATATAGATAAGATTTTATTAACGGTATTTTCACTCACTTGTGACACGTCTGATTTTAGAATTGATTTTGGACCCTATTCTATGTTTCTTCAGATGATGACATGGTGGTTCACAACGTTCATGGCGCCAGCAATCAAGGCGAAGGTGCACAACCTGCCAGGCGTCGAGTACCTCTACTCCGTAATGGCGCGCGATCAGTTGGATGTGCCTGCTTTCGTCACAGAATATGATATGACGGTGAGATAACCTATATTTTATTATACATTAAAAAAAAACCTTGTGTTGTATACCATGCGTAAGTCGTATAATTTAGTCTCACTTGCCCTTCAAGTACAGAAAAATCGCAATTTTGCGAAGTGCTATTCAAATTTATTTATTACAAGTAAATATTAAATAAATCTTGTAGTGCCATCTGAGTTACTTTTGTTTATTGATTTGTTTATAATATATTTTCAGATAAATGGACTGCATTACTTCCAACCCGATACAAATAATACGTAAGGCACAGCGCTGTTGTTAAATCGAACGGCCGCATTGTGCCCGTCTTTGTTTGCTGACACAATCTAAATAATTGAATATGTTTCTATTAGGTATTTGATATGTATATTAATAACGTATTTTGGTTACAACAGTATTTTTAACCTTTTACAAAACAATTTGCTTTCCAAGTACGGTTTTAGTGAAACTGTGTTTAGCAACAAAGAGGGCGAACGCTAATTTTTAAAATTAAAGTTACCGTTATTGCTACAGCCAATGAACTCGCCGAAAACAAATTGGAATGACTGATTGGTTGATTCGGTAACGGTACTTCAATAAAAAGGGCCGCTGTTATGATTTATAGTAATTTTTTTGTTCAATGCGTGTACATACATATTTGTTAAAAGTATTAACAAGAAAAACGTATTGAGTAAAAATATTACTATTAAATTAAGATTGTTAAAAGTATATCATGTAATTTAGTATTAGAGGTGCATTTTTTATATTTAACAATAATTATTTCCCTTTCGATGTCCTAAATGTGCTCTCGCTATCTCGAGCTGTCGAATTCATTCCGTCATCGCTAGCTAAATAATGGTGACTTCTTTTTTATTTAGATATATTAAAGTAAATATTACTTAATTAGACTGATTTAATAACCTTACTTTTTTCGATTTTTACGATCAAAACTTTCCGTTCGATATTCTAAAACTTACACATACCGCATATTTGCATGCGGTTATTCATATTGCTTTGCTTGTACTATATGTTGATGAATTGTTAATCTCTACCAAATTATAACTCGCGTATCTAACGTGCCGTAAATTCTGTCAGTCAACTATCATTTCAACTGTGAATTTGATACTGCGACAGGGTATTTGTTAAGCTCGTAGTAAAATGCTTTATTTTTTAAATACATACACCCGTAACACATATTATAAGCGAATGTATTAATAGTATAGGAAATTTAATGCTATTGCCCTTCAGTACTTACTTAGAGAAAAATATTTACATTGTTTTTAACGAAGGTGCTTACTACGGCGGAATTAGATTTTATTTTTTACTTTAGACATACTTTTGGTGTAAGCTTGAAGGTAGGATTGTACATAGCTGTTGAAGTTTTTGCAATTCGCGGCGGTTGCTGCACGTTCGCACCATGTTAATGTACTTAGTTGTTAACACGATAATTCATATTGAGCACAACTGATATTACCAAAAGTTAGGATTCGTTTTTTAATTTTCAATTTAAAAAAGAAGTTTGTTAAATTATAATAATCTAACTTTTGGTATATCAGTTCAGAATCAGTAAGTGAAGACTATTGGCTGATCACTGGATTGAAAAAGTTAAGTAATATAAAGCGCAATGGAGCTTCTTTCATTGGCATATATGTTTACAGTGAACTTGGGAAACATTAGCATTGCCAAGAACAATATACACTGCCACAAACAAGGGATGCACCATTCCTACTTATAGTGAGAGAAAAGTGAGAATCTTGTAAACTCCGTTCATTGGCAATGTTAGAAAGGGAGATATTTATACTAAAATGGGCACAGCAGTAGAAAAAATCCTTTCCCCATTCTTATAATTATCCCTGTCTCTCATTGCTTATGAATAGAACGCATTAACTTAAAAATCCAGTCATATACAAATGTAGAAGTCCCATATTTTTTGTAACATTCATTCTTTGTAATTGCTGTAAGTGCAAACATATCACATAATTTACAAGTTTGCACATTTAGAGTACAAGTTGGTTAAAAATAACGCGTCATTTATATTCGTTCATTATAGTATTTTTTGACTTTATGCGCATACTAGACAATTAATTACTGACACAAAAGTAACGTGCCACTTCAAAATGTATACATCTTGTTATTCTCTTAATGATGTCAAATGCAATATGTGAGTTTCTAGCGGTCAATAGGACAGATGCAATGTTTGTAAATAAAGTAACAATTTTTAACAGTTGTGCTACTCATGTAAGGATTTCAATCGAGTTTCTAAAGTCTTCAAATATTTATTATAAGCAAGTTGATATTTGTTAAAATATTTTTATCAAAACCCCAGATTTCGTGAATATCTGTGTAAGGCGTTCATGACATTCCACATTTTGAAATGTAGGCTTTAAAATGTTATCAAGTAATAAATTTTTAAGGTGTGGAATGCCATTTTTGATTCATATTGTTATCATTATATTGTTCTATATTCAGATATCAACATGGCCTTAGATGTATTATAATTGTTATTGACTATGCATCCTTATGTTGTAATGTTCAAAGCTGTTATCAATTTATAAACATGATGAAATGACAATTACTTCAGACCAAATAATATTATTTGTTCCTCAGTAATTGTCACTATACATGTGTGATGCAGTGAAATTATTTAACCAATCTATACATAGATATAAACAACTAATTTAGGATTTATGTGAAAAATGTGATCAAGCAAATGTTGGTTAAGTTTCATATTTTATTGATAAAATATAGCATTAAATAATTTATGTAAATATTTAACAAACACAAAATAAAGTTATTAATTTACTAAATTTGGTTTATTTTCTCTGATCCTTTCTATATATGTCCTTTAAGTAAATTACACAAATAACAATGCCCAACTTCCAGCTAAAAAAGTTGACGATCATCAATCACATATACAGGATTTCATTTGTATTTTGTATTAGTTTCTAATTATACTGGATTTTTTATTTATACAATATAGAGAATTTCAATGTCTTCCTTATGTAAATTATGTATTTTTTAAATTCATATCATTTTTTCTCCTAGTTATTTCAAAGTTTTATGACTGAAACTTATTTTATAATGTATATTTAGATGGATATAAATTTTCAACCTGTCGTGACTAAATAAGTTACAGAGTCCAAAATGGGCGTTGTTCTTTCATAAGAAATTGTCTAGTACCTAATTACAATGCTTAGGCTCAATTTACCTTCCTGCAGAAAGGAATGGAATCAAATTTTTTTAACAAAATTGTACACAGCATAGTGAACTTAGTACATTGCATACAACATGGTAGGTAGCAGTAATTTCCGAGAATGTGCGAGAGAATTCACTGAAGACACTTGGTCTGTTTTTGACTCATGTCTAGTTTGTGTTATGCATTTGACATAAAGTTCATTATCCTATGGTTACATAAGTTTGCTTCCATTCAGTTACACATAAAGTAAATTGACCCTTCTTCATATTGTATTGCTGGCATACATTAAAAATGCTTGTGATTTTGAGAAAAAAATAGTTTTGCAATATGTATGTACAGTCAACAGCACATCAAGCCTAACACTATTGTTTGAATATCGCCTCCAGAGCAATGGAACACGATCCGTCAATATGTAGCTTGATATACTGCCGTCCGTACCTACCAACGATTTATTCAACCAATAAGAAAATGTATGATTTTTTTGTTTTCTATTTTCAAAAATGCATTTATTTTTAGTACATACCTACAACTAAGACTGAACAACAATTTACTTTGAAATACAGAGCTTGTTCAAAATGTTAACTAAAAAATTCAAAGATGGATATTTGTAAGCTGCACTCATTAAGGTTACTTTTAATACTGTAAGTACATTAGCAAGTAGGTAGCCACCAATGGCACCTAGATAACAGGGAATGGGCCATTGTTGCCAAGGTGTGTTCCAATCAAGGGGAATCACTATAGCTCCAAGCCACGCCCCACATACAGTCAGCAAGGCGTTAGTAACCAACATATCAATAACAGTGTCCTTTGCATAACTTCGTACTCCAAATAAAAGTTGCATAGAAGATTCCACTCCAGTGTACGCGATTAAAGGAAACACAGTCAGCAGCGTCAGTAACGTAGACAACATCAAAGTTTCTTCATGATAATCTAGCACTGGTGCTCCAAACAGAATTATTCCAACGAAGAAACTGGTTAACGTCCCTAATAAAAACAAAAAAGATTTTACGATATCACCAGCTCTGTTTTTGTTAAGCTTGATTTTCTTTCCTTGTATATCATTCGAAGAACTCAAATAGAATGACTTCAACAGTTCCGCAATGAATATCAGCACCAAAACGTAAAAAGAAGAGCCATTGCCGATTGAATACAATAAACCTTTGTATGACACAATTGTGACTATGCTAGGCAAATAGATACATGTATTCAAACTTGAAATAGTCACTCTTCTTAACTCCAGTTGATTATTCAGTGAAAACATTGCGAATTCATTTAATTTTTCATATAAATTTACATTCAACAATACAACATTGAGATTGAGACGATGGAACTGTCAAAATTTATCAGCTGCAGTTCTGCCAATGTCAATGATTGGGCATAAACAAGACAACTAACTTATTTTTTTCGCTACACATCTATCTTTTAAACGATAAAACGAATATGCCACTAATGTTAGTATTGCAATTTAACATTTTTCCTGCAATGTAGCGAAAACTTATGTATCAATATACATTTTATTGAGATTTTCTTTTTCATTCGTAAATATCAAAATAACATTATTTATTAATTTTGTAATACACAGGTAAAGTAAAACTAGGATTTTTAAATCATATGAATAAAATTGGGTCCCCGCGACAAAGTGCCCAAGATGCTGGCAGCGTTCCCCCTTTGTATTGCTATGCTAATGAGTTGGGCAAGGTACTTGCCGACCCTTAGGCTTTCCAGACAGTCTGTTATTTTGTTGGATAAAAATAACAAATTACAAATAACATTGATAAAATAATAAGTACAAATACAGCCCATTTCTTTCCGTATACATATTTCCTCTGTTACTATTATTAGTTTTTGGACACTCGCCGACCATTCAGTAAAAGTTAAATATAAGAAGGGTAACTTAACATTTAGTGTGACAACATTACTTTGACATTCGTGAAATCAAAATAAAAATTGTACAGTTGTAATTTACTCAACGCAATCGATATGACGACAGCTTCTTTATAAATGAAAGGTGTTATAATTGAAACCACCAGTTGAACTTCAGATCTGCGAAACGTTCGGCTACAGTGAGAGCCAACGTTGACCTCGATTGACAAACAAGCATTTATTGCTAAACCATAGTAATTCACCTTGCAAGTGTTGTGTGATTGATTACATAAAAATGCCCTGTCCGTTCTTGGGATCATTGAGCCAAACCTTCGTAAGGAATTACGGAGCAAACCTGATGAAGCAGTATGGCAACTTCTGCCCCATTGTCTCTCGCGGGTTCCGTTCTTTCGGAAACGATGAGACGAAGTGTCCTTTTATTCAAGAGAACGCAATCATTGCTGAGGCGCCCAAGGAAATGAGCGAGGACATTGTAGACAACACCCCGCCCTATCATTACGAGAACTTCTTCCATGAGCAGATCAGCGCCAAAAAGAAAGACTACTCGTATCGTGTGTTTAGGAAGGTGTCTCGACTGGCAGCAGACGGAATGTACCCTCAAGCATTAGAAGGTTTGGATAATCGTCGCGTCACAGTATGGTGCGCAAATGACTACCTAGGCACCTCCCGTCACCCCGAGGTACAAGATGCTGCTATCAACGCCATCAAATCCTATGGAACTGGAGCTGGAGGGACCCGTAACATCGCTGGTAACTCCCAGATGACTGAACAGCTGGAAGCTGAAATAGCCAAGCTTCATAAAAAACCAGCAGCTTTAATATTCAGCTCCTGTTTTGTGGCTAATGATGCAACTCTATCAACTCTAGCCAAACTACTGCCTGGTTGTATTGTATTCTCTGATGCAGGCAACCATGCCTCAATGATACAGGGCATAAGAAATAGTCGTGCTCCAAAGCACATCTTCCGACACAATGATCCAAACCACTTGCGTAAACTACTGTCTGAATCACCTGCTGGTGTACCAAAGCTAGTCGTTTTTGAGACTGTTCACTCTATGAGTGGAGCAATATGTCCCCTAGAAGAAATGTGTGATATTGCTCATGAATATGGGGCACTAACTTTTGTGGATGAGGTCCATGCTGTTGGGCTTTATGGGAAACATGGTGCTGGTATAGCCGAGGAGAGGGGCTTACAAAATAAAGTAGATATAGTATCGGGGACTTTAGGTAAAGCCTATGGGAATGTTGGGGGCTACATTGCTGGATCATCTCTTCTAGTAGACACAATACGTTCACTCGCGCCAGGTTTCATATTTACAACGGCGTTGCCGCCACCGGTGCTGGCTGGGTCGCTGGCGTCGATTCGTTTATTGGCGAGCGAAGAAGGGCGACAGTTTCGCGCTCGTCACCAAGCGATGGTACGTTATTTCAAGCTGTCGCTATTGGTGGCGGGACTACCACAGCTGCCGTCCGTTAGCCACATTGTGCCCGTGCCCGTGGAGGGTGCCGATAAGGTAGCCCGCGTGGCGGAGTCGCTGTTGCGTCGTGGACATTACGTACAAGCTATCAACTACCCCACTGTAGCGCGCGGAGATGAGCGACTGAGGTTCGCTCCTGGACCCTTCCACACGCCCGAAATGATCGACTCTGTTGTTTCTTCGCTCATCGATGCGTTCCACGAAAACGGCATCAATTTCGAGCAATTCATTCAAAACGGCGCTTGTCGCGAGTGCTCCATGGAGTACAAGATGGAGGTACCCTATGAGGAGCCTTACGTTTATCCAATGCAAGTCGCATAAATTTAGATAAAATTTATTTTCGTTTATATATGAGGCATAATGACAAAAAAATGTTAATGTTGTATTGTATAGTTTATTTCAGTTAGTTTTTACTGGTTTCGATTGGTGGTATATGGGAAATTAAAGAGGTGGTTCAATGAGTTTCATGTTTTATTAATCCCAGTACTTGATAGCACCATCCCAGCCAGCCGTGAGCACTTTGCTGGGCTCGTGCGGATGCCACAACGCCGAGATACAGACTCCGTCGTGCGCTTTCCACTTCTTATATAATTTTGTACTCTTCCAATCCCAGATGTAGCACTTACCGTCCGCGTCGCCGGACACCAAATAGCTGTAACAAAGAAAACAATCTCAGCTACCACTATGTTGATAATATATAACAAGAAGATAAGACAATTTATTCAATATAAGTATTCATCATTCATTGACTGATCGGCCAAGGCATTTCAACTACTCTGGAGCGCAATAACTTATAATTTAGTACTGTCCTTACCCTACATTGCATGTATGGGGTACCTGCGCTACAGCAAAATAATGATTGCTAATTGAAATCAATTCGCCGAAGTGTTTAAATTTGAAACCTATATACATATTAATTAACTAATTATACCAAGGCAATGATGACGCAACAAAATCGAATGGGCGAACAAATGTAGAGTTTGACCGAACGACCTCGAAGGGCCTAGTGTGATCATCGAAAATAGCTAAATATATAACACGAAAACGTGGCAGATAATTATGTGATAACAGTAGGTACATCGCTTTGGTAATGGCTTTATATAGCTATTGGGTTCCTAAAACGATGTATGTAAATAGTTATCTTTGCCATGAATTGCTCTATTATTATATATTAGAGTAATTCAGGGCAGCTAACTGATACAAAAAGCACAATTTTAACACGTTTTCATTTATTAAATTAGCTTCATAAATATCGGCTAGGCTTTTCGAACACGTTTTATGTACGTGATTTACTTATGTGTAAGTATAAATTTAGGTTAAATAAGAACTCTGCGAAATCATAAATATATAGGCATTGCTGTGACAACGAAGCCATTATTTATAAACCTAGTTAGAACCTAGGTTACCTAGCATTTGACAATTGACCGCACATATTTCTTATAAGTAGATATTATATCATCACCCCATTACTACAAAGCAACCCCACTTTGTAACGTTGTATAAGACTTGAGAGAGCCTTGACTTGAGAACTTATGTCCTAAAATCAAATGTAATTATTTCGAAAATGTCTACGGACAATCCAAAGTATACTTATGTCCTAAAATCGAAAATATGGCAATTACCAGCTTCCACGACCATGTGGCAGGTTTAAAAATGATGAAATTTTGTGATTACTGATTTTTAAATTTTAAGTTGCTACAGTTGCTTGTGATCATCATACGCTCACGATCTGCAAGATGCTCGAGTCATGTTATTATAATGCTATATATCATGGAGGTTTTCTGTCAATCTCTATTTATTTATTTCAAAGTTACAGATTACAGGAAGCATATTAACAACATTATTTTTTAACAATACAAAGAGAGACTTCAGGTATTTTATCATTGAAACACGTGCAAAAATCACATAGGTATTTCGCACAACATAAGTAACTTGATCGAATCTTTCTCCTCGTTTTTCGCCCAACAGTGGGTGCTGGTACGTCATTAGTTTTATTAATATGCTTAAATTTTTTCCAAAACAATTCTCGGTTTTACCTTCGTTGGGTAAATATTTTTACCAAATACTCACCTTAGGTTCACATTGTAAAGACAAGGCAAATATTATGACTGGTTTCATAAACATTTTGATAGCAATTGGAAATCGTGACAAGTCACGTGTGCAGTAGGGTAGACGGTAAATGGGCAGGTAAATACAGGATACGAATTCTACGCGCGAGATTAGCTCATCGCTGCAGTAACGTAATGAATGAGAGGGGAAGCACTATGAAGGGACTGTCATAATCGTAATAGACGTGATGGATTTCGATTACAATAACGTACTTATACATAGAAAAACCATGTAAAAATAATGGTGCTTCTAGGGTGGTTGGAACGATTTACGATATAAAAAACAAATTAGATAGATTTGAAAATATAAGTAAGTAATGATTACACTTCGTCATTTCATGATTTAGAACGACTTAAAGTAACAATAGCAATCATTTATAAACAATACAAAAACATCCATATACATCGTTCATCGGTTGTGTGGCTACTTCGTCTTGACCATATCCTGCAATGATTTTATATCCTGTTGTTCAAACTACACTATGTCATAATATGGAAATCCTGTTATTACTTAATCATGTAGTTTGCTTTTGCAAAACTTACAATAAACAATAAGAAATTAAATAGTATTTATCATAAGAGTGGGAAATCCAGTCAGCTATTTACGCCTAATTAGCTAAGGTCTGTGTGAGAGTCGTAAAAAAATCGGGTCGTCGCGCGTCGCCAGGTTTTGTAGTTGAAAAACAGGACGCGACGCGACGCTTCGACTCTGCGCAATTGGAGTTGAGCCTATGGCGCTTTATAAATTAATAGCGAAATATATAAAAGACGGTAGTAACGTGACGCAGATTGTTAAGGGTTAAATCGTCACTGCGTGAAAAAACCATTTAACATATAAAATAATAATAACGCACACACTCATAGCCCCGCACGAAAACCCTGCACGCGGGTGTCATGGACAACCACGTTGTTGTCAAACGATCTTACACAAATTACACCCAAACTCAAGAGAGAAATAAATGCACGCCATACAAATATTTCTCCCTATTAACACGGTAACCGTTCGGCCACAGGGCCAGTTTATACAAAGAAAAAAGTCCATAACAATTAGGTGGCTATTAACCAGACGGCGTTTCTTACTAACTCAGAGTCGTATTCTAGAACTCTACTCAATGCTCAAGTCAGGATTTGAGTATGGTTTAAAGCACTCGAAATCATACTCAAGTCCCTGCCATTAGGGTCGTATTTCCAGTGCTTGAAATCATACTCAGATCCTGACTTGAGCATTGAGTAGAGTTCTGGAATACGACCGTTAGTTTACTTTTACATTACTACATACTGACATCTTATTTAAGGACCATTGCTTATGGATTAAGTGAAAACACAATATTCATCATAACTTTTGCAATGAAAACTCTTGTATTTATGGTCTAAAGATATGCGAGTACCAATTATTATAGATACTGTTATAAGTTATCTATAGGCATCCATCACATTGTACCATGAATAAATTGAGTGTGTAAAAATTATCTTATCACAACCAATACATTATCGTTTCATCGCGGGATATCTGGTTGACTACAGATAATTAAATATAGATTTTTCTTAAACATGATTACAAATAATAATAAATAGGTAATAACTATGTGCTAGACAACCATACCAATTGCCTGGTCTTAAACTACGGTTTTCCCTGTACTATGAGTACAAGCCAGGAGCCTCATGCTTAGATTTTTAGACTTATGTCTATTTCGACTTTTGTCGATTAACATTAAAGTCTAACGAAAAATGTCGACGACTCTGAAATTTCAATTCCCACACATTTTAGAGATACCCAAATGTCGAGCGTCCGTAATTCTATAAGAGTTTTTTAGTGAATCATGTTGGCAGCATTGCATTACTGACATGTTTAGAGGTGACTGACTTCAAAGTGACATTTGTAGTCAGACACAACTGACAGTTTGAAAGTACTAAATCCATTATTTTAAGTATGTTAATCTGAGTGGGACTTTAAACTGACACTGGCGATGTACGCCATAATTTTTACAATATTGTTACAAAACTGACACTGCGCACTGGCACCAGCCTATTGGCCGCCTTACAGATAATATTAAAATAATTGTCTTCATTCACTGTTTAATTTGAAATACTATATACTAACGTAGTCCCAGTGCAGAGTATTAAAAAAACTGATCTCAAAAGTTCGTGGAATTACTTGTATTTGTTAAGTTATATTAGGATCGGTTACCGGAAAGTACGCGAAACCGGCTTCGTCCCCTAGTTTTCTACCCTTAGAATTGCAAAAAAAATTCATCACAATCGGTTCACAAGTTATTGCGTAACATACTTAATTTGCTATGATAGCATTACAAGAACATGTAAAAATAGAAGTAATCGACACCGAGTTTTCGAACGCCAAATCGAATGCATGTCGAGTGATGTTCATTAGTCAACATGTCAATGACATTGTCGAGTAAAAAATGATAAAAACAGAAGTCAATTGAAGTCGTGAGGATTCGGGCGCTCAACATATTGTCGATTTTTCGATATGTCTATCACGCGACTGTGCAGTGGAGTTCACTCTGGGGTCCTTCTCAGAAGAAACAGATCAGGCCCAATTTAGAAAAGTTGATGAAAAAAGTGTTATTATTCATTTCCCAAATCGCTTCTACCGGGAATGGAAACCGGGGCTTCCGCATCCAGCGCCCACAATCTAAACTGTTAGGTCACCGAAGTGACGGAACGAACAAGTCGTGCGCCTGGTTGTGAGCGACACGCTTGTCCATAGCAGTTGTAGCAACTCAGGAGAATTAATTGTAAAGGGGCTCTACCATTGTGCCAACCACCCTGAGACATAAGTTGACATCTCCCGTGTGAAATGAAATTAAATCATTAGCACCGTTACGCTTCAATCCTATACCTAAACTATGTACGAGTATTATACCACGCCCTATCATCAACATCATCCATAGCCCGGCTTCACCCACTGATAGACCTCTCTTAGTTTATGCCATCCATCTTGAACTTCAAGCGAATTCGATCGATTATGCATACAGAACACAATCGTAAGACACGGGTCAAATTTTCAAATGCGAATGACGTCAATGTTACATTCCTATAATTCTTAACATAGTGAATACATTTTCCTGGTGGTTAGTAGTGTCAATTAACAAACTTATTTCTAGTAAAAATAATAATAAGCAAGAGTTGTAAAGTTAATCAGACAAATTATAGTAAAGAATGATTTTTAAATAATATTTCATTTCGTTGCCGAGATACATAAAAGAGTCAAAAAGTCAAGAGATAAAGTCTAATAAAAGAAGTTTACCAATCTTTGTATAGAATACCTATAAGTAAAACACCTCACTGTCTTGTTGTTACTCAAAAACGAATTAAGAATCCGAAAAACAAAACCTTTTCATTTTTCATAAAAAAATAAGAGATTAATCTTCATAGATTAGGTAGATACTGTTTTCAGAAGATCGAAACGGCGAAAACGTAAAAATATTTTAAATAGACAGTTGTCCGTTATATAACTTATAATTTCCGCTACCCGTCAATATATTAAATGAAACATATTACGTGACAGACGAGTTAACAAGTG